AAATTACATTTTACATCATTTTATACATACCTGTATAACAAGGGAAAATGAAAGTTGTAAAAGTTCTTAATGGTGATAAGATTTTGTATGCTGTGTTTTTTCAACAAATTTAGGATGAATAGGGATTATTTAGAAATCCTGTAGGATAATCATAGGTAAAATATACACCTTTTACCTGTCAGGTAGATGGTGTTATGAGGAGGGTATACTCTCTGTGGGGTACCTTTAGTTCCGCCCTGTGGGTACCTTTCTATGTCACAGCTCCCTAATTTATGTCAATCTGTAGTGGGGAGGGGTTTCTTGGGGGGCCCTGGGGAGACGGCCTATTGACCACATTATACTGATATGTATCATACTGTGCTCCTTTGATAGAAGTGATTTAGAAACATTTTAACCTGGAGCGGGAAAGAGGGGAGCGTAAAAATTTTGTTCTTGAAAATGGGTGCCTATGAAAATGTGCAGAGATATTTTGAATATTGTATAAAATGGAGAGGTATGTTTATTTTTTTTAGGTAAATATTTTTCTAATGGAGGTTAATGGATAAGCAAGAGCTAAGGACAAATATCAATGTTTTATGTCAACATTTTCTAGTCGTATTTTGTTTAGATAGGATTATTCTTATTGTTGAAAAACCATCCTTCAACTGTTTGTAAATAAAGGGGAGATAACTTAAACATGGAAATCTTCCTTACACAATCATGTGTTAACTTGTAATCTTTTAGAATTTTATTGGTGTTGAAACACTTTTATAAGGTTGTTTACCAGTGTCTGTAGAAGTGTTGACATTCTTCTAATCTGATGAAACAATAATACAATTTTATCAGCACAAGCTCATGGCAGAGGGAACCTTAAGTGCTTTTACAGCTTAAGGGGGATATCCCAACTCTTTGGTGTTCAGTCAAGTACACTTGAACATTTTTATGATACCCAGATCTCCAAAGTTAAATGATTAAGGAGAAATAATCCATATTTCTGATAAATATTTCATTTTAAAAAATTAATGAATAATTTTTCTTTTTTTTTTTCCAATGAAATATTATTTGAGAAAAATGTTGATAATTATAGGAATATTTATGGTATATTTCTTTGATTAAGGTTTAAAATTAATTAACACTGTTTTAATTACATTCTTATCACCTCAGTGTTTATCAGGGCCCTAACATATGGATAAGATTAGACATGGGAATTACATGCATATGAGTTTCATCTAGAATTTCATTTCTGACACCTAAGAAACCAATCCTAGCACAATCTTGCAATTTTCTGCATATCAGTATTAATTATTACCTTCACTAATTATGTCAGCACCACCTGTGATTAGCTGTACAGGCTTCCTAAATGAAAGTAGCTGATACTTGTAAGATTTCCCAATCCTTTGAAATAACTGTATAAAAAGCAGCTGTGTCTGTAATAAAATAAAATAGGGAAATAAACTTGCCTAGATTAATTAGAAAATGGTCTGCAATGAATTAATTTGAAATTTTATTTAATATTTATAAATATTTAGAAATAAATAGTTTTTTCTCTGTTTGCAGTACAATTTTAAAGAATTTTTATTAAGTTAAATTGGCAAAAAAAGTTAATAAAAAAAATTATTGGTTTGTTTTTTTTAAACATTAAGATTAATACTCAAGTCTTGATGAATGGTGCTGTTGACAGAATAATTAAAATGAAGACACAGGATGTAAAACTCCAATAATCAAACAAATATCCCAGTAACACCTGGTCTGTGAACACTATCTTATCAGGATCTATCACCATTCTATTTATTTTTGTTTGCTTATCCATAGTAATTCAATTATTAAATAAACTTCATGTTTATCTTTATGATAATACATCCTGATACAAAACTATGCCTGTTCCCCCTGTGTTGGTCAGTCTCAGACTTAGGTCAGTATTTGGAGGTCAAGTGTTTGATGATGAGGGTTCCTAACATGGATATTTGTCCACAAGGTAAACCATTATCTGAAAGTCAAAAATGTCATTTAATTAATTAGAATTGTAAAAAAAAAAAAAATGTTAAAAAGTGTTCAATAGCACATTATAGATTAGTTAGATCTAAAAAATAAATAAATAAAGAAATCAAATTTCCCTTTTTCTGAAAAAAATTAATAGATTGATGAAACCATAAATCTAATCTTTTTCCTACAAAAAAAAAATAATAAAATAAAAATCTCAATAAATTTGTTTTAAAAAAAATCAAGGATTTACGAGTTAATCTGACCTCTTTGAGTTTTAACAAGCAGAGTAGTTCCCCTTGTTCAGTGGCCCATGACCAACATCAAAGAGGTCTCTGTATATTCCATGTGTATTCTATGTTAATTGGGAGGGTTTTCTGTTTTCACACCTTCTATTGTTCTAGTTCAGACTTGTTTGCTTCTGTTAGCCCTGAGTTCATTCCCTTCCCAGGCCTTTAGAGCTACTGGTTGTTAGCAGACTAGATTTTGATTTTTATTGACATTTTGTGACATCTTTTGAGTTGAGGAGAAGAGAATTTGACAGTTTTTGAATACAGTTCAGCTTCTGGAGACCAGGATCATGGCATTGGTGAGAAAAATCTCATAAGTGTTAATTGATTAATTAATAATTTTTGGCAGGTGGATTGCTATTAGTACTAGTGGGAATTTGCCAATTGTATTTTGATTTTCTAAGTGTGTGTTCTAGTTTTTTGTGAAGGATGGCCTTTGGTAGAATTGGTAAAATGAAGGTTGAAGTATTATGGAGAATTAAGTGTAAGGTTTAGAATATTTTTATGTTATGTAATAATTTAAATCTGTTTTATTTTCATACTTTTGAGATGATATTTTAATATGAAAGCTTTGTGATCATCAATATGCCAAAATAACTTTTCTGGTATTTAAATATTTCTAACATGTGATTTTAGATGGAAGAAAATTATCAAGTTTTTGGTGTGAAAACATTGCTTTAAGCTTCAAAACATGTGAAGGCACACTTCACAGTTTTTTCAGCAATTTTCAATACACTGACATATTGTTAAATAGTAATAAAATTGTAAGGCCTAAAGGTTCACTGAATAATTTTATTGTGTGATGAGTGAAATCTGTTCTAAAATTTCATTACTTTACAACTGAAAACCAAGATGAGAGGTTTGTTTTCAAATTCTGTAACATTTTGTCAATTTTCAAATTATATATATATATGTTTATTCACCAATCAAGGGCCCACAGGGGGCATGAACAATTATTACAAAATGATAACATTGATTACAATTCTATATTATATCTTAGCTATTTAATTGTTTTTATAGGATATGTAGATTTGTGTTTTTTAAAATACTTATTCAAATGTCATTTAATATTAAATATAAAGAATTTATCGAGGTATTTCATATTATTTAAACTTAGTCAAAAGCTGCATAGAATTTTACACTAAAATGTCATCAAGGTCATATGTATTCATGTTAGGTCTTATACTTTACATTTAAAAGAATCACTTGTTTTAACAGATCCAATTAAGATTGTCATTTTCACTTTGTTCCCACCTTAATTAGTGCTAGTTGGGCTTTGATGTTGAAATTAGTTTTCTTAAGGTTAATGAGTGTTCAAATTGTTAAGTAAACTCAAACCCCCTCCCCCTAACCAGGCAGAGAACTATCACAGTAGGGGGTAGTTATGGTTTGAGGAATTTTTTAAAATTTAATTTTCTATGTTACTAAAGATTCAAGTTTTAAACAGGTAATATATGATTTTGTAATATTCGTATTGTTTTGGTCTTTAAAGAAGTTAAAATCCTTTTTTTAAACCCATGTTTAATGAATTAGTATGTTTTCCAGGTCCATTTTTGTAAATGAAAGAAACTTGGTAAAGTTAGAGATAAATTTAACCCAAGGCCCAATCTTTTAAAATTATATTTTAATTCTTACTGAAAATACCCTCAAATGACCATCTGCTTCATTTTGACAGAAAGTAAGTGGTGGTGAAAATTGTATTTAAAATCTAAGTCAAAGAAAAGGTTTTAGGGGATAGGTGATGTAAACCCTTTTATAACTTTAATACGAAGGAAATAAGGCCCTAAACAAAGAACCCATCTGCTGAACAAATTATTGACAGTCCTTGTTTACTTAGGTGAAAAGATTCTAAAATGTTTATTTCACTCATGTGTGATGTCAATCAGAGACCTAGCATTGTCCAGGTGTGTCAGGACATTTTTATTTAACACCACTGAAGTGAGATACAACCTTGAAGATGTCAAGGTTGTAGAACACCTTAATTATTCTGTCACTTTTCACAATTACAATTTTACTACCTCTCTTAACATGTTAAGCTCTGGAAGATGCCCTGGAGACAAGGATTGCAAATCCAATCAACTATTGCATGTTTTTAACAGAGTGTGAATTTGGAAATTGTCCCTTAGGGGCAGCTTAGTTTTGAAGGAAAAAAGCTTTTTTTGGTCAGCTGGAAACTTTGGGGTCTTGCAAAAAGAAGGATGTTTTTTCTCACACTTCCAATAGTTAGGGAAATTACTTAGACAAACTTAGCTAGCTTTGAAGTTGTACATCTCTGAGCTTGGCACAGGCAGGTGGTCTATTGCAGAGAAAGAAATGGGTAAAAGTTTATTTTAATTTAGAAACAGGTGGTGATTAATCCACTCAGAAACTGGTGTGTGGATTGTTTCATGTGTCTGGGAAAGTTTGGGAACTTTTTTTCCTTAAAGTTATAAATGTGTTAAACATGTGACCATTGTTATTTAAGAGACTGAACGTCAAATGTCTCTTATTGCGATACTTGGAGATAAACTGTTAAAGAATGCTAAACATGATTGACAAGAAACCTGAGTTTAATTGTATGTACAATGTTTTATTTTATTTCATATCAATATTATTTATTTTATCAATCACAAAATGCTTCTATTTCAGAATTTATATTTATAGATGCAGTAGAAGACTTAATTCATTATTTTTATTTCAGTTGTCTCCCTTTGAAGATTTGATTTTTTTTTATTCTTCATAATGACTTATAATTGTTCTTGTTCCTTTCAGATTGGATAGAGTCCGGTATGGAGTCCGATGTAGCCCCAGACGAGATGTACCTGATGTTACAAGCAGATATGGTAAGATTATTTGTGGACAAATTTTTTTAATTTTGATTTAAGAATCGGTATATGAAACATAAAATGATAAAATCTTGAAAATCATCACTTCATTAAGTTCATAGAAATGAATTGATATTATTTTTAAAAGTGGGCTAAATGCAGGGACATAATTCAAAATTTTAGAACACGTTTAGAATACAAATGTACTAGTATTTACAACTGAATATTACTTTCTCTTGATCAAACTTTTGATTAAAAAAAATATGAGAAAAAAGAAAATCATTTAATTAGAATATTGTCAGTAAAACAACAAATAAAAAAAATTAAATTGAATTTAAGAAAATAATCAATAATTATTTCTATATTAATTTAAAAAAAATTGTTTGTGGTCATCTTTGTTGTGTATAAAAAGTCTAACATGTCATTAATAATTTGTAGATGAGCATCAAGAAGCAGGAGCGGGCCCTACAGAGCGAGATTGCTGAAATCAAGTCCAAGTTCCTCAACCTGGTGGAGACCTGTGGTGTCCAGGAGTCCGACTTCCCGGTCCAGCACAACTCCAGTGTAGTGTCTCCTTCCTTCCTCCACAACACCACCTCATCCAACCTCCGCCGCGTGCTGCCGCAGGAGGAGGATGAAGAGTACCTACTTCAGCAGATCCTGCAGGGCTCCGTGTGTTCCAGCAGCAGTGACAGTTTGTACGAGGACTCCCAGATGACTCTCATCGTGGACAACAACTCCAACTACAAGTCACCCGCTTTCCGTCAACCAGAGAACACGTTGGTCAGCTTCGCCAGCATGCTTGTGCCGAACATCACCGAGCCTCTTTCATCATCCGACATCAGCAATGGATCCAGCAGGATGACCACCTCATCTGACGGCTACCCCAGATCAACGGAGACCTCCTCCGATGTGGACAACCAGTGTGTGCCTTGTATAGACTTTGAGGAGGAACTTGCATCTCGCACCAAGTACTACTCCGACTTCACCATTGATCGTCAGCGGAAGATCAACAACATGTCACCACCACTGTCCAATGGCAACGAGTCCTCCAAAGGAAGTGACAACAGTGATGATGCATCTGAGGAACTATTCACTCGGGAGGTGGAAGGATGTGAAGCCAAAGACTTGCAGGCATTCCGTGCTGCTCCTCTTGGTGTTTCTACTGTGAATGACTCTAGGGTGATTGCCTATTCTCGTGCTAGTTCCCAGTCCTCTGGAACAGACAGCTCATCAGTGTCTTCTAGATCTCGTCATCGCATCAGCAGATCTCGCCGATCCTGTGCAAGCAACAGATCTACTTCATCGTCATCCAGCCGTAAGAGTACCACAAATCCACAGGCATCATCCACCATGATTGAGGACCTGTCTCCACTATCTTCTCGCAGCAGTGGTAGCAGCAGGCACAAGTCTTCCACTTCCAACCCACAGGCTTCATCTACCATGATTGAAGAGCTTCCTTCCTCCAAGGGCAGCAGTCGGTGTTCCAGCCATGAGGACTTCGTCAGTGTTTACACCTGGTCTATCCATGACACCTCAGAGGAAGTTAACCTGGAGGATTCCTACCTCAGGAATATTGGACACAAAGTGACTGCACCCTCCACCAGATCCAGCCGTAGCAGTAGTGCCAGCAGTTCAGCATCCAGGAAATCAACCAAGCGTGACAGAGACTCTAACCGCATCCAGCATGTGTTGCCAGAGCCAGATTCACAACTTGGGAATTCCTTATCTGTGATCGAACAAGCAAGTGACATTCGTGAGGCATTCCTTGGAGCTGATTCTTTGTACGAGGATGAGGACATCCACTACAAGGCCAGCACCTTACCTCGCACCAGCACCCGTGTCTACCTCCTGGGGAGCAAATCCAGTGCTAGCTCATCCTTGGAAGCTCGTCGCTCATCCATGCCTGACATTCTCAGTGTCTGCACACCTAGTGACTTTCATAGTGTTCCCACATCTGACGCTGAAGAGGACAACCATAGTGCTGATGATTCCTCCCCTCTCCAGGAGCGCATCGAGGTCCCCGGCAAATCCAGTTCCAGTGGCTGCACCTCCAGTCCACCAGAGAACTCCAACAACACTGATGCTGCTGCACCAAACAACACGGAAGCTCTCATCGACTCCATCTTGACCGACAGTCCTGTCAGTGCCTGCAGTAGTGGTATAGCAGCCCCATACAACTCCTACAACTCTCCTGCCGAGAGTCACCTAGCGTCAGCAGCATCACGTACCAGCCAGTCCACTACCAGTGACAACAAGTCCGAATCATCCATCGGCAAACCTAGTGCTCCTCCATCCTCTGTCGCATCTTCACCAGTCGTTACCAGCAAACCTGCCGATGACGATTTTGTCTTCAAGAAACCCCTCAACACCCAGCCACTGAGGAAGCTGTTCAAGTTCAAGAAAAGCAAGGGGAAGAGCACAGAGAAGATTCCCACAACCTCCACTCCAAGCCACGCCTATCCCTCCTCTGTTCGCAGTGACCCTCTCTCTCGGAGGAAACTCTTCATGGGCAGGGAGCAGAAGATGCACGAGGTTCAGCTCATGGACAAAAAGGCAGTGATGAAGAAGTTCCGCAGGTTCAGCGAGAGTTTCCGTAAGCGTGACGGTACCGGGCTTCCAAGGATCCAGACGCTTGCCAACCTCTAAAGCAGAGACATTGTGTTAAAGATACCGTGTTGTGTTCAAAGTTCAAAGACATTGCCAAAAACTTTTTTATTTTTTGTAAATATACTCTTCCAGTGTGTGACTTGTAAGAAAGAAATGTGTTGTTACTGTTTAGATTGTGTTTTGCTGTCAGATATTGAGTGAAATCAAAGTGTTTTTGTTTTGTCAGAATGACTTTTTTTGTTGATTGACCTTTGTTTATGTTTTTTCCTTGAGATTTTATGAGCTCTCAGATGTGTTCCAGTAGGTTCAGTATTGTAACAGTGCAATAAGATGTACTCCAACTGTAGCAATCTAGCAAAGTAGAAAATGTTCCCACACTTGTTTCAGTCTTGCCAAAACTTGAACAGAAAATTCTGTTTTTTGACTGTTTGTACATTTGTAAATTTTGTAAGAAAGTCTTAATTTATTCATACCATAATTTAACATGCAGTGCTAAATTATGTACATATCAAATAAAAAACATTGAAACTAAAAATTTGTCTTTGTATAATACCATGAAGGATGAAGGTGCCATGAGGAAAGTAATGAACTGATTCCACAAGTACTGAGTATTGTAAGATGAATGCAATATAAAATTTGGTAATGCTATTTAAACTTTGATAATTTTTCGTAAAATACTAAGTACCGGTATGTACTTGGAAAAAGGGAGATAATTTAGATTTCAAAATTTGACAATTAAATCAACTTTTAGAAGTTTGCCTTTGTGAAGGCAGGTTCATGTTAACCTTTAAATTTCTCCTTGAGAAACAAGTGTCCCAAACTCATAAACTGAGAATTGACCGCAGTCTTAAATTGAAATATTAAATTTTAATATCTGAACTTTAAACTATTGTTACTTTTTCAAATTATCTTGTTTTATTGATCTTTAAAGTTATACCAGTTTGATATTTTGACCTTAGTCTGTTCTCAGTTTATGATCCTGGAATCTGTAAAGTCTAAAGAAAGCATGAAGAGTTACAGTAGTCTATATGCAGAATTAAAAAAAAAAGTGGTTTGATAAAAAATTTGGGTTTGCTATTTGAAACTTATATTTATCCAATAATCAGGATGTTACCTGTAAGAAATATTCTTAATTTAGGGATATCATTGCCTTTGATTTCAAAATTTTGAATTGAGATTTCATATTTGATTTAATACATATGAGAATTGAAAATACAAATACAATGTAATTGGTCTACAGATATTCATATCTGATGGGAGTCCCATTGTGAATATTGAAAAGTAAGGGGTACAGCATCTCAATGATAAAACAAGAGGTACTGTGAGCATTGAGCTCACTAAATGATACCCCCCGCCTCCCATATAGTTATAATGGCAAGGTCCATGTTTTGCTGTGGCCAGGAAACCCAAAATATTTGTCAGATCAAAAAGTAAAATAGGAGTTGCTCAATGACAATATGTAATATATAAAGATTCTGTGAAGGTTTCATTAAATTTCACTCAGTGGTATAAGAGGAGTTGCGGAAAAGAGATGGGTACCCCAAAGCGTAACAGACAGACAGACGGACATACCGATTACATTATACCCTCCCACTTTTCAAACAGGGGGTATAACTAGAAATATGACCACAGGACATGAATGTACCGCCGTGTGTAACTTCATAATGAAACATGAAAAATTGTGGTCACTATGTGTTTTTGAAAGGGGGGGGGGGGCACAAGCATATACTAGTAGTAGATGTTCTCTGTAGTATTTTATACTGCCATGATCTGTATTTGCAACTAGAGGCACTGTGAGCAATGAGCTCACTAAATGATACCCCCCGCCTCCCATATGGATTATAAAGGCAAAGTCCATTTTTGCTGTGGCCGGGAAACCCGAAATGTGCGTTTTCAAAAAGTAAAGGTGCATAATGGCAATATGTAATAAAGATTCTGTGAAAGTTTCATTAAATTTCACTCAGTGAAGAGGAGTTGCGGATAAGAGATGGGTACCTCAAAGTGTAACAGACAGATGGATGGACGGACAGACATACCAATTACTATATACTCTCCCACTTTTCAAAAGATATAGCTGATCCTGATATAACAAGAGGCCCATGGGTCAAAATGTTCACCTGCATAACTTTGGCCCTGCTGTTCTTTATCAAATTTTCTCCCTTGTGTTTGTGACTCAACCTACATCCAGGAGTCAAGATTTCAACTATTTAGATAAAACACTACCTCAAGAAATTTTTTTCAGATCCAGTGGTTCTTTACAAGAATATTTTTGTCATATATATATATTTTTAATGTAAAACTCTGATACTCCATTGTGACCCCACATTAGTCCCAGGGGTCATGATTTGATGAATTCAGAATCTACACTACCCAAGGATCCTTCCACACAAGTTTCAGCTTTTTCAGCTAGATAGTTTATGAAAAGAAGATTTTTAAAGATTTTTCCAGATGATTTCAATGTAAACCTTTAATATTTAGCTCACCTGAGCCGAAGGTTCAAGTGAGCTTTTCTGATCACATTTTGTCCGTCATCTTTCCGTCCGTCTGTAAACTTTTCACATTTTCGACTTCTTCTCAAGAACCTCTGGGCAAATTTTAACCAAACTTTATACAAAGCATCCTTTAGTAAAGGGAAGTTTAAATTGTTAAAATGAAGGGCCAAGTCTCCTCACAAGGGGAGATAATCAAGAAAAGGCAAAAATGGGATGGGGTCATTAAAAAAAATCTTCTCAAGAACTACTGGACCAGAAAATCTGACACTTAGGTTGGAAAAAAGTATATTTTGGGATATTTCATTCCTTTTTTAAACTCTTAAGTAGTGCAAATCTGACATCATATTTTCGTTATAGTTAATATGTATCCTGACAACAATATTTATGTAAGTTATGGTTAAGTAGGTCTTAGTTAATTGGGGATTGACCTGTTCCAAAAACTTTAATCTGGTCACTCATCTGTTAAAATGTAGGTCAGATCCAGCATCCGAAGCAAGTCTAGTAGTGTCCATCCCAAGATGCATCATCCATGCAAGTTAAATCATAACCACACATAAATACAGAACAATCTCATAATTAGAATTAGATGTTAGATCTGCTCGCATACTCGCTACACTAACTCTCATTGCGTTCATCTGTCTCTTGAACCAAGCACTTTCCAACATTGGTAAATCATCTTCCTTTCGCTCCAAAATTCTAGACACATTCTTAAATAAATCTGTACATTTTATACACCTCCTAACCCTTTATAGTCGTCTCTACAAGCGATAAACTCGCTTGAATTAGAATTTTCTGCAGTCCTTCAGACAATTCAAATCAGGCCAGTTTATCGCCTGTAGAGACGACTATGTAGAGCTGAGGAGTGGATAAAATATATACAATTTGTTAAAGAACGTGTCTGGAATTAGGAGGTGAAAGTAAATGATTTACCAAAGTTTGAAAGTGGAGAAATTCTCCCTAACAGTGCGCAAAAAAATCTTGCGTCGTAAATTGCACATTGTTGCCTTACGGGATCTGTAGCGTTATGGCCAAAGACTAATATAGGGGAAAAAACCAAAACGCTACAGTTCTGCAGCTATGAATGGGACGCCGACGCAAGTGCCATGGGTATAAGCATAAGCTCATCCATGTGATGAGGTGAGCTAAAAATGAACTTACAGGAAATTACTCTAATCCCTTACACAAGAGGCCCATGGGCCATAAAGCCTACCTGGGTAGTTGAGTACTTTGGCTAGGAAAAAACGGATTCAGTATTTAAAATACTGGGGATCCTTCTGAATTGATTTGACTAATGATTGCTTTCAAGTTCTTAAGAATTTTTTATTGATCTATCTTTTATATTCCTATCTACAACAGGGGTTGGGGATAGGGCCATGATTTTAGCAAATTTGAATTTACATTACCTAAGGATGCTTCTGCAATCATGGTTTTGTTCTTGAATAGAAGATCTGAAAGATTTGTTCCTATGTATTCCTGTGTAAAATTTTTATCAATCATAGTGGTCCCATCCTACCCCCGGTGGTCATTATTAGAACAAACTTTAATCTACCCTATGTAAAGAAGATTTCATATGAGTTTCAACTCTTTTGCCCCTTTGTTCCAGAGAAAAATATTTAAATACGCCACAAAATTTTCACTTTTTTTAATTATCACCCTTGAAAGAGGGTAACAATGACACTTCAATTGAACAGATCTGAATCTCCTTTACTCACTGACGATTTGTGGCAAGTTGATTAAAATTGGCCAAGTAATTCTAGAGAAGAAGTCGAAAATACAAACGGTTTACAGACGTCTGGACGGAATAACGGACTACAGACAAAATGTGATCACAAAAGTTCATGTGAACTTTCAGAAAACGTCATCATTTGCTCAGAACAAAAAAATTATATGAATTTCATAGTCCATATTCCTGGGACCTTAGGGATAGGGCTAAAACCTCATAATCAATGCATTTTTCGTGAAGATCAAAAAGTATAAAATATCTTTTAAAAAAATTTCTTCTCTCCTCGTTTATTTAAACTAGAGGTACTGTGAGCATTGAGCTCACTAAATGATAACCCCCGCCTCCCATATGGTTATAACTGATGACAAAGTCCATGTTTTGCCATGGCCGGGAAACCCAAAATATTTATCAAAAAAAAATGGCAACATGTAGTAAAGATTTTGTGAAAGTTGATTAAATTTCAAGTGGATAAGAGGAGTTGCGGATAAGAGATGGGTACCCTAAAGCGTAACAGACGGACGATTACTATATACCCTCCCGCTTTTCAAGCGGGGGGTATAAAAATGATTAAGTGGATGGCTGTGATCCAATAGTTGGGGCTTCGCCCAAACTTGTGAATGACATGTTTAGATGTGTTTCTGTAGCTCTTTCAGGGTAATTTTTGCTCTACTTTGGGAGTTCAATGCTATTTCGTACTGCTTAATCAGTAATCACCTAAGTTATTTTTACCACCCCCTCTCCCCGATTGAAAAGCGGGAGGGTATATACATGTAATGATCGGGATGTCCGTCCGTCCGTCTGTTACGCTCTGGGGTATACATCACACAGGCACTTGTTTCGTACATGGGATACCCCTTATTTTTACCAATAAGTAGGGGTACCCCGTGTACGAAACAAGTGCCAGTGATGCATCACTTATTCTTAACCACTCTTATACCACTGAATGAAATGAGACTTTCACAGAATCTTTGTTATATATAGTAATAGTGCCATTGTGCAGCACCTATATTTGACTTTTCAATTGGACACATATTTTTAGGTTTACCATAGCATAACATGGACACGACCATTCTTTCTGTGATATTGAAGTGTACCCTTTTCTTATCTACAACTCCTATATACCGCTGAATAAAATTTAATTATACTTTCACAGATTCATTATAATATAATGCAACTGTGCACTCCTACTTTACTTTTTGGCAAAGATATAAAAATAAATTAAAGAATAAAATGAACGACTTTCCTTTCCACATTTGAGAGAAATTTGGTTATTTTCAATAAATTTTATTTTA